TCGGCGCTATGTAAATCAATTATTATTTTTATTATTATTATTATACGCCATACAGATGAGTTTGACAATAGAATTAAAATTCCATTTTGAAGTACACTATTTATAGTAGCAATTATTGTTGTTTATTTATACAAACGACGCTACATTACGGTTATCTACACACCTCCTAAATTTTTAAATAGATCGTTTAAAAACTGTAAGGTCTGTCATTGAGTCAACTGGCGTGGTTTCGAATCCCCGGTTGTACGTGACAAGGAGTAGGGTCGCCTGTCCAACCGCGTGGGTTTTCTCCTGGTCCTCCGGTTTCCTCCCACTGCTAAAGACCCCTACGCGCAAGCGAATTATTGAAATAAAATTAAACCATATGTTAGTCCCGAAATGACCTAGTTTGTGTCGAGTGGACGTTAAACCCCATTTCTCTCTCTATATATAAAAACTGTTATTCCTAAATTAAAACAGCAACACAATAACACTTGTTAAGGGTAAGTGATCTATCTCATCGAGTGATAAAAAATGGGAATCATTCAAACATATTTCAAGTCACTGAGCTTCAAATGTTAGAAATTCTAAATTAAACATACATAATGCGACAAGTGAATCTGCCTATTGCCGGTTTTTCGGTAGGCCTGAAATGTTATATAAACTATTAAGTAGACATTTATTAACTTATCCAGACCATAATCAACTCTCGATGCCATGTTATGTCGGATTTTCGCTGGATTTGAATCCGATCTGCCGCTCAATGCTCATTGATGATTAAATCCAAATATGGATTATATTTTTTATCGTACCGACTTTAGTAAAGGTGATCGATACCAGGCCAAACATTCAATCGCTAAAATCTTGGTTAAGAGTGGAGCAATTTGACTGAAATTATCAGCATTATTTCCTTTACATTATCTAGTTTTTAACTATTATAATGAGAACTTCCAGTTCTTTATCTAATCTTCGATAATGGTCCTTTAATATATTTATTTTGCATTATCTATATTTAAAGTATTACATAATGTGAGCGAAAGTGATAGGTAAAATATTAGAATCGTCAAATCTCTCTCAGATGCTCAATACCACTCTTATTGTAACTGAATAATATGTCCCAATCTTTATTCTGGTCAACAAATTGTACTATTTTACAATATTTCAATTAATTGATGAAACAAATTTCATCTTAACACACCTAATTTAAAAATTTTGAAAAATTCAACATAATGGTTTGAAACGTCCAACGTAAACCTTTTCAAATGAAACTTAGATTTAAAAATATTTTCGAACCCTCTGGACAAGTAAAATAGGATGTAATGGATAATTTACACAACAGGTAGGACACTTAAACATCTAGTACTTAGATAGAGATATTATTTATTTTCTGGAGCTTTCACGCCAGCAAGAGTGTTATTGTCCCTTTAATTGACCATATTATTGTTTAATTTAACAAAGGCCCAGCGACTGGCATATCTATAGTGGTCAAGTTAGATAATCAAGTATAGTGGTCAAGTTAGATAATACGTTGACCGCTAGTTGCGTTTACTACAATGTATTCAGTTTTCACACATCAATTGTTCTGTAACCTGTTATGTGATTAACGAATGTACCATTTTAGTATAAATTGTCTTAGCTTTTTGGATATAGAACAGACGAGCTTTGGTTGCTCACCAGAGAAGGGTTTCTCGTATATTTAGTATGTTGATAGTATTGTATATGTTATAATAAAATGTTGAATCCAGACCATCTTTTATTTCTATAAATAAACTATGTTATAATAGCACGAACGACCAGCTCTTTATCGTACATAATGTATCTTTAATCAGTGATAAATAGAATAGTTTTTTAGTTCTTTAAGATGGTCCTAGGTTCATGTTGACCGAGTATTCTAAGAAGGAAATGGTATTTTCTTTTCTTTATAAGCTTCTAAGACAATAATATTTTCACAAAGATAATATTAAACATCGGAAACCACGTCGAAGGTTATCTGCATTCATATCGTGTCACGGACTTAAACAGGAAGTAATTATTGATTGGATAATAAAAGATCGTTTGTGTTGAATTGACTTTAGAACCGGATTATTTTTGTATCCGAGTTTAATGACGTAGGAGAAATGGGCCTTGATATAAAGATAAATCATTCGCTGTATATATATTGAAGCCTGAAGAAGTTCCGGTGGAACAGAAAGCGCTAGCTTAAAAAATGTAGTTTGTTTTCTTTCCAAACATCTTATTGATATATGTATATATATATATATATATATATACATATATATAAAATCAAAATGTTGAGGAAAGAAACATAGAATTATGCGGCGTGTTAAATCACTATGGTTTTGTTTTGTAGGATTGTAGAGTCAGACGTTCAGCTTTGTTTAGATCATCGTTAAATCCGCCCCATGGTGGTGCTCATATGTCGGGCGCGATGTTGTGCCGAATGGTTTTGAATATTTACTATTTGTGGACTAAGGAATTGGGCTCCATGCGCGACTCAACTTGGGAGCGACGATCTTGGAATAAAACCAAGACTCGCCAATTCAAGTTGGGGGGGGGGGGGAGAGAGAGAGAGAGATGGGGGTACTTCCACTTGACACAAACCAGGTCATTTTGGTTTCAATAATTCGCTTGACCCATAGGGTTGGACAGGCGACAGTACTCCCTGTCACGTACAATCGAAACCACGCCACTTTACTAAATGACAGACCTGATCAATTCGGCTAGCCCCCACCCCACCCCCACTACCTGAGACTTGGACAATGCCGCATCGATTGTCAGACTTCGATTTTTGATATGCCACAATTCCAAGATGGCAACGATGACGTTATGCTCGGACCCTTGGCCATAATACTCTCGTATTATTTGCTGAGCATTGAGAGAATCTTCAACGAAATGTCGCTTTAATTAAAATAGTAATTGTGTTGCATATTATGTTTTTGTAACGTGTGTCAATTGCTAAATGTCGCTCAAAGAAGACTCTCATGCTTTTTAAATTTTGTCGTGACGTGTACACGCATTACAATAAAAACAAGAAGAGAAAACGTCCGATGTTGATTAATGTAGACTTGTGTTGCAGGACTGAATATAATTATCTCGTGAATAATAGATGGTCCATGTCATTTACAATATCTCTTATCATTTATATCACTGTCGCCATTTTATTTATTTCTATACACGTACATACGAAAAACACGTTATTGCGCCCTTTTCCTTGATTAAAATATCACTCGTATTACTTTAGACTATTACGTGAAACCGTCCGCTAGTTTTATAATGTATATTATTACAGGGAAGGAAACCGACGCTTAGTTTCAAAATGTATATTTAAGTCGGCCTATGTGTGGATGATTTGGATTAATGAATCTGTAATAGATCCAATACTAGCCGTACAAACACAAAAAAAAAGACAAGGATTTTCTGGCGGCGGGTTGGAGTGATCCCCGTGCACACCACCAACAGCGCTGTAAGGCCCCCAATCGGCCTTCTTTGCCATCTACAGTTTGCCATTCCCCGGGAAATATCCACCCCTAATGCACTTTGTACGTTCACATTTCATCTAGTATGTTGTCATCGTACATGTGTGAAAAAGTGCTCAACTTGTGCGAACCGATTGAAACCCATGTTATTGATCTACAATATTAACTATACTGTCCACTACACGTCCCGTATAAGCGCATTTAATTACCGACGTAATAATTTCCACATGTAGTGATAGTGCTCGTGATTAAATAGAATGCACAGTCAGTTATATAAGACCCTGAGACGGGAGATTTGAAAAAAGGAGAGACGGGAGAATGAGAGGAGCAGAGACCGGCGTATGGACTCACCCGAGTTCAGCCGCTGCCGTGGCAGAAAGGCGGAACGGTTGTCTTAATGTACCACATTAATGCTATCCTGGTTTAGTTTAGTTCCTGTTTAATTCGTGTTCCTGTTGTTTTTATGCGTCTGTTTTATATTAATTTTCCTGATGTTAATAAATCATATATTTACTAAAGTGATCTTCTGTTACCACAATAGTGTACGTCCTTATTTCATCTAGTAGTCTGTTGTCATCACCACTGTCTGTACGTCCATATATCATCTAGTAGTCTGTTGTCATCACCACTGTCTGTACGTCCATATATCATCTAGTAGTGTGTTGTCATCACCCCTGTCTGTTCGTCCATGTGTCATTTAGTAGTCTGTTGTCATCACCCCTGTCTGTACGTCCACATTTCAATATGGGGCTGGTTCACCAATGAGCCGAGCTGTTTGATAATTGTATTAGGTTTTGCTGTTTTTTTCATCATCTACCTTTGAATACCCTAGACACTCCGCTGTCGTCAACTCCACCCGGCCTTTGAAAACCATAGATACGCCACTGTCGCCAACTCCACCCAGGGCCCTTGAGAGGAAAACAATGTACTGTGGCGGGACCTTTTTGCGCCACCCCCATCTTTTCTAACGTTAGTCATATCTAGATGATTCACTAGCAGATTTTGATAAACGTGAAAACTTTTGTACAATCTTTTATAAGCTCCAAAACAACAATACAAAATTCATACAGAATTGCCCATTTCAATTTTGAACTTTGATATTCATGGGGCCCATAGACGCTTATGGGCCCTGGGGGGGCGCACCGGCTGCCCCCCCCCCCCCCTCGTGAGAACTGACTTCATTCGGCCTTTGAAAACCATAGACACACGGCTATCGTCACTTTTACCCGGGCTTTGAAAACCAAAGATACGCCGCTATCGTCAACACCGCCCGGCCTTTAAAAACCATGGGCACGCCGCTGTTGTCAACTCCACCGGCCTTTTAAAAACCATTCATAGGCCACTATCGTGAAGCCCACCCGGCCTTTGAAAACCATTGGTACGCCGCTGTTGTTAACTCCACCCTACCTTTGAAGATCAATGGATACGCCGCTGTCGTCAACCGTAGCCCGCCTTTGAAAATCATCATGAACCAAAAAGCTAGACAAACTCAAAATTTTAATAAAAACATGTTTATTACAAAGAGTGCATAATGTTGTATTTTGATATCAATTCAATGATAATATAATATAAATATTGTTTGTGGTCACGTGATTGCATTTTATATTCTTAAAGATACATTATGTAAGATTTAAATAAAGAGCTGGTTATTCTTACTACAATGGTTCGAAAATGGATCGTTCACACTGAATGTATTAAAAATTACTTCATTCTGAGCGAAGTTATCAATGTTTGAAGTTTTGTCAGGTCGTGGCATAGATTGTTTATTATGGAAACAACGGTCCTTGTAATTGGAGACTTAGCCTCAATTCGTCATTTTTAAATAAAATCAGTAAATGGCGACTGTATTTTAATCCGTTACAATCTTTGCCATCTGATGTTCTAGAAATGAAGAAATGAAATTAGGGTTTAATGTCCTACTGTTCTGCTCCTAAACTGGGCTAATGAAGACGGGCATACGCCTTACAGTGTGCTATGGGGGAAATTTTGCCCGGGCAGCGGCACTACGGCCTACTCTTATATCGAATTCCAACTGCCAAGGGATCTTTTACGTGTACGCCAATGTGTACACGGGACCTCGTTTTTTCGTCCCATCCGAACGACTAGACAGCTGTCCTTGCCAGGCCCTCCGCCCTGCATCACTGACAAGGGGAAACCTCGCTGGAAAATCTGGATGAGCTTTCTCGGCGAATGCAGGGATCGAACACCCGACCTCCTGGCTAGCGAGCCAGCGTCTTACCAACTTAGCCACCGTGATACCCCCTGATGTTCGAGAGTGTTGATTATAAGCATGTCGCGTGAATAAATGTCTAAAAAAAAGTTTATAGAACATTTGAAACCAAAAGAAAGACCTGCGATAGGCCAATTTAGCTCTCACATAATGCATCTTTAAAAACAAATCGTTAAGACAAATATCTACATCATTTATTTATATTACAAATTGACAGCTTGTCACGTGGTCCGTATCTAAACATATCAATCTTAATAAACTCATAAAGAACAATAACATTCTTGTTTCAAATGAAAAATGAAAGCGGTGTCCATTTGATGCGTTCGATCGCAATAAACGTTTCCCTTGACAACAACATGACGAAGCATTTTTCTGCGATAATCAATGCTTCAAGAGATTTGTGAAAACATTTCCTATTGAGACTTTTAACAGAAAGTTTATATATTCATCTGCTGGAATTGTTTCACATTACTAATCACATTTTATTTAAGGTCACATTTTGATTTGAAATTGTTTAGATTGTCGGAGAAAAGGGCATCAATTTATAACGTAATTACGACGACACAATCTGATTGGTTGACGTCGTGTTAATACGTCATACTGGTGGACGTCCGGGATTGGCTAATTGCGAACTGGGTTAAGTTCACGACGTGATTACGACGACATACTTTGACTGGTTGACGTCGTGTTTATACGTCGGTGATAGGCTGATAGCGGAGTGGGTTTATTTCTAAATGTCACTGCATCAACAGGAGGTATATTCCGGGGTGCGGATCCTCTGACTGCCTTACACTACCTTCGAAAATTGTATGCTCCGTTTGTTAAAATCTACAGAGGGGTTGGATGGCCGAATGGTTAGCGTGTGCGCGCTGCATCGTAAGGTCTGTTATTGAATCAAATGGTGTGGTTTCGATTCCCCGGTTGTACGTGACAAGGAGTAGGGTCGATTTCCAACCTCATGTCTTTTCTCCGGGCCATCCGGATTATAGAAATAAACTTGAACCATATGTTAGTCCCGAAATGACCTAGTTTGTGTCGAGTGGACGTTAAACCCCATTTCTCTTTCTTTGTTAGACTCGACCATAACACGTGACATATTTATTTATGGTACAAGTTCTGGCGTCGAGTATTTTACATGGTTAACGAATAAGACACAATTGCAACTGCTGCTTGGACCAAATTCTACATCCTTAGTATCTCAAAATATCAAATTCAAAATATTATTATAGCATGACTTTACAACAAAAATATTACAAGTAGAAATGTTAATTCTGTCTTGTGATTGGTGCAGAATCAGTGAGGGGTTATTTGATTTGTTGTCAAACCGGAAATCACATGAGCATACCGTATCTATGGGTTACGCCAATTTCCTATTGCAGAAAATCGTAAAGACAACTTAAAGTGCCAATGCGTTAAAAAGCTAACAAATGTTGGGTTTTTTTCTTCATTGATAATAATCGCGCAATTGCATTTAAGTTCTCCAGATATGAATTTACACTCAAAGGCCCAAGGTTAGATACCACCTTGACCCCGATGTTTATGAATAGAACCTGTTTTGATATTGATTACACGAGAACATCAGCAGATTTTATAATCAACTATCAATAGAAAATTGATATTTATTATTTATTGACCAATAGGTTTGATTGAGTGTGATCTTAAAGGGACTATCCCGATTTGAATAGAATCTCAAAAATAAAAGTCCGAGTAAGTATGAAATTTAAACGCCCAAATATAGAGAAATGGTGACATTACCTTGTCTCAAAATTTCAGCTCAAAATATTAAGTCGTTTGGACATGAAAGTCAAAAATGCTTATCCGGACACGTAACCCTTTTAAGATTTCGGGTCAATTTTTTGTTGGGCAACCTGATAATCGATACCCGTTTCTTTAGAGGTCTATACAGTGAATGACCCGTGTGCTGTACTTGATAACGAAGGGTAAATTTCACCTACACATTATTTTTATAAAATAAAAGTCTGGTTTTATCCAGATACTGTATAATACAGTTTGGACACCGGTCTCCATTTCCAGATAAAGACGGGCGGGTTTAAGTTGTTTGAAAACGTATCACAAATATTGAGTTAGCTGCTCGGCTCTTAGGTAGAGGATTTTAAGGGATTTTAACACAAAATTAAGCAGTTTTATTCTCCAAAATATTATCAGGATTGGCCCTTTAAATTATATTGTGCGTGATCATTAACTATATATTTGACCTTTGAATGTATATGGTCTTAAACTTTATATTTAACCTTTGATTGTATGTGGTCTTAAACATTATATTTAACCTTTGATTGTATGTATGTGGTCTTAAACTTTATATTTAACCTTTGATTGTATGTGGTCTTAAACATTATATTTAACCTTTGATTGTATGTGGTCTTAAACATTATATTTTTTGATTTATATTTGAATTTATTCGGGGTTGCTGTCCTTGTCGTCGTTTATTTGTGAAGTAAGTTGATTATACATAAAATGTTTTCATATAGAAATGAAGACAATATCTAGAAAATAATAAAATAATGTTTAGCAAAGAAACAACCAAATCAAGCTAAATTATTAAATTTAAAATTCATCACAGACGTTGAATATTTTGTTTATCATTCTGGCCTTGCCTACAATCCACTTCTTCGTCATTAGCTAAGGTTGGGCTGCAATCCACTTTTTCGTTTTTAGCTAACATCTGCAGTTTCGTTATTAGCTAACATCCGCCGTTTCGTTATTAGCTAACATCTGCAGTTTCGTTATTAGATAACATCCGCCTTTTCGTTATTAGCTCGCCATTGACTAAGATTGGTCTGTAATTGGTCATATTGTTAGATGATCGAGAGTGAACATGGAGATAGTTTGATACCAGGAACCAATCTGATATCAGGAACCAAATAATAGGTGAACAGTTTCAGAACCGTATCATTCATAACATCCGGTTTACAAACGACCAAACATGATACTAATCTGTTCTTTTTGTGTGGTCATTTTTCGGAAAATATCAAATCTGTCACGGCTTAATCCGCGTTAACATGCACACGGATTGTTTACTTTACATTAAATTAAGAAAACTAAAATATAAACGATAGATCATCTATCGACTTAGATTCAATCGATTACAAGAGAGGGCCATCAAGATTTTTGTGTGAAGATGGCGTGTTTTTACTATATTCCGTTTACATTATCTGCCATGGATGCCGAGTGTTTAATTGAATCATTTTTCGACTGATATTCCTTGTAGATATTCAACATTCACAATATTGTGAGACCTTATGTTAGTTATGTTAATTAGATGGGAAACGCAGGTTATGGTTTAATAATACAACGGTAATCATGTTCCCTCAATCAATCGATCACAAAAGACAACATTTCGATTTTAGCCGCAGCTTGATTACAAATTCAGACCCACGCATACGTAGTAGTTAGACCGCGGGTAAGGCCAAGATGTCCTATCTTCATATCACAGCACTGTCAAACTCCAGAATCAAAATGATCTTCCTGGCCCAGTTTACGATTTAATATGGCCATTGGCCCCACTCCACCCTGCAAACCACCCTCACGCTTGTGTGAGTGACCTCGCTGTGATGTTTCGTAAAGTTCCTTCTGCATCATGGCCAGGGATATTTTATTCGCTTGCAGAAAATCTTTCATCGATATCATTTCTCCCGAGTTGCGTCTATACTCGGAATCGCTGTCTCCGTCAACGTCCGTGACGGTTACAGTTGGAGCTTTTCCCCCTTTAGTTAGATGGCCTGGCGTTATGGCGTTTCGGCGGCCTGGATTAGGCCTCTGTACACGACAGCGACAGTTAAGTTTTCGTAACATCCAATTTAAAACTTGTTTGATCACAATCGACGTAACATTGAATAAGCTATAAATACAGCAACAACCGATAACAATGAAGATGAAGTTTGCAAAACGATATAAATCGACATTAGCGTATGATTCTCTCTGACTAACAACGTAATCCCCGAATCCGATAGTTGCGAAAGTCACAAAACAAAAGTAAATGGCTTCGAAATACGTCCATTCTTCAACCGGTTGATAAACTGCTGAGGCACACAGCGCCACAATTGATGCTCCGAGTAATAGAATTAACATCACCCAATACACAGACGGTTTCCACGCATCGAGTTGATCATCGTCGGAAGTCTGACTCGGTCGTCTCCCTTTATTATTTTTAGTCTCGCTTATCAAGCCCTTTCTTTTCATATCGCGTATATGAATTGCTCGAAGAATGTAGGCTAGGAAAGTAATTATTCGCTCTAAAAATAAATTGAAAAACAGAATAGCGCCAGCACAACCAAAAAATCCATAAAAAATTAAAACTACTTTTCCTCCGATTGTTCTTGGTGTGGTCATACCAAAACCTGAAAAGAGAAAATGAATAAAAATGTTCGTTATCAGGGAAGTTTCTAGTAGTAGGTGCAACCGCACCACACACAAGGGAAATTTTTGGATATTCAGAGCAGGGAAAGATCAACATGGGCAGGAGCCACGGTGGGTCAGTGAGAAAGACGTTGGCTTGCGCTAACCTGGAGATCCCGTGTTCGATCCCTGGATAGGCCGAGAAAGTTCTGACGTGGTCTCCCATTGTGAGTAGCGCAGGACAGGGGACAACGTATAGTCGTTCGGATTGGACGAAAAACCGAGGTCCGATGTACACATTGGCGTTCACGTTCACGTAAAAGATCCCTTAGCAGTTAGAATTCGATATAAGAGCAGGCCATGTCCCGGCACAATTTCCCCTCTTAGCACAGTGTATGGCCTATGCCCGTCTTCATTAGTCCAGTTAGGAGCAGAACAATAGGACGTTAAACCCCATTTCATTTCATTTCTATATACACCAGGGACCATGGAAACATGTAGTTCCTGGTTCCTGGTGGTGACTGAACGGCTATTATAGTGGACTGCCCCCCAACGGTGATGGTGTGGTATTCATCTGATCAATCAATTAGCTACAACAATGGTTTACTAATATTTCGACATAACATAATTAGCTCCAATCAATTACCCACCACAATGATTTACTAATATTTCGAAATAACAGAATTAGCCTCTAATGTTATCTAAATTATTAATTAGACATTTATTAACATGACAAGACCATAATTAACTCTCGTTGCCATCTGATGGCTGCAATCCGCCTATAGCAGGCCATTCTCTGAGCTTCCAATGTTATATAAATTATTAATTAGACATTTATTAACAGGACCGAATGGTTAGCGCCATCCTCGGTATTCCCAGTGTTTTCATTCCGTTCTACTTCACTATACCCTGAGTTAATCCATAGGGTTTCCACGATTTCAAATTATCTGCCCTGCCTTGATTGTAGATAAGGTCTACGAACCAATCAAGAAACAGTTTACAAGCCAGTCGTTTCGCGTTCGATTTTGTAAGGGTAATTAACCATATTCATGTCCATTTACTGAATGATTTATGTAAATAATGAATATATTTATAATTTATTTATAATTAATTGTATTATCAAAATCTGTAGTATGTGTTGTTGATTTCAAATATGTATAACATCTATATGTTTGACTTTTGTTATTATTATTACTATTCGTTCTTTATCTGAAATGTTTCATTCTTATTAATCTTATACTTGGCAATTTGATTCACAGCTTGTCTATAATATGACGTGGATGTAAGTCTCCGGGACCGAACGACCGACCGACCGAACGGCCGATTCTCAATAAAACTCTTGACCCCACGTAGATATAAAGGTCCATTCTTCATTAATATAATATTATATAATTTGTTGTTAATAAATATGCATTAAAAATAATTTGAACCTTTCTCATTTAGGCTAACTCCTAACCTTGTCTGATAAGAGTTACTTCCCTTTGCCAACTTCCTTTTCAATTAACGATGTATGGGATTGGTCGATAAAAATAGCACAATCATCAAGGGCGAATAATTTGAAAACGTGTCCCCCCCATAGATTAACCCAGGGGTTAGTGGAGTAGAACGGAATGAAACCACTGGGGATACCGAGGATGGGTTAGTGCGTGCGCGTCGTATCATAAGGTCTGTCATTGAGTCAACTGGCGTGGTTTAGATTATTGAAATACGATTGAACCATATGTGTTAGTCCCGAAAAGACCTAGTTTGTATCAAGTGGACGTTAAACCCTATCTCTTCCCCTCTCTGCAGTCCTCTCATACGTCATCATTAACACAATCTAAAAACTCGCGCAATCTTTTATGATTCACACGGTAAATATTGAGATAGGCTTCTCCAAATAGAATAGATAATTATATCTAATTGGTTGAACAAATATTCAACACCGGCAGCCATATAAAATATGGTTAAATAAATACTGAAATAATAGCAAACCATATAAGGATTTTAATTTACACATTTGTTTTTTTTTCAAAAATAAATTTGGATGGGAAGTGAATAAATTGGGAATATTGAGTGAATAATACAGTACGACAGACATGGTTTCCAGTAGACTTGATGAAAAGGGTTTCTGTTAGGTTTTGGTGAATATTCATGATACGCGAGATCAGAGGTTGGTCAGGTTGAAATGTAGGTCGGAAAATTGCATGTTTACTTGTCTCTACTTCCAGCTTGTGTATCTCAAGTTTTTCACAGTGAACCTCATACATGCTTTTTCGGCAAGAGGTTGCCACATGTTGCTCCATCTGTGGCAGAAAGCGTTCTACCCAACGAAAATTTGGGGGAAATTAAGAGCCGGTCTAAGAGACAAGAATTAACATTAAAGTCAATGGGAAATCTTTAGTGATCTGTGGCCAAATGTCAATGTCTTGCCAATCCAGTTATCTCCCTTAAACATACATTATGCAAGAGCTAAATCTGCCAATTGCAGGCTTTCTTTAGGCCTGAAATGTTATCTAAATTATTAATTAGATATTAATTAACTTATCCAGACCATAATCAACTCTCGATGGCATCGCTAACCTGCGATATTTACTGGATTGTGATCCCATTTGCTGCTCGACTTCCATTCATATTTTAATCATGAAATGGGTGATCGAGACTATGTTTTTATCGTACAGACTTTAGGAATAATGATCGAGGCTAGACCGAAATTTCAATCGCTTAATTCTCGGTCCATAGTGGATCAATTTGACTGAAATCTTCAGCAAATTTCCTGAACATTATCTAGTTTTTAACTATTATAGTGAGAACTGCCTGGTCTTTATCCTATCTCCCATAATGTATCTTTAATCACCAAGTACCGACAAGACGAGTTTACTGCTAACACAAGGTACAATTTTATGGATACACAATTACTGGGTTTAATACTAAGCAACGTTTGGACGAGGATACTCTCGTCTTTATCACGTAAATGATACAAATATGTGAATTGTGGGCAAATATATACAGAATATGCAAGAAAGATAATAATCAAATGCAATTAAAGCTTAACCCCTTTGATTAGGGGACCATTAGGAACTAATATGTTAAATTACTAAATGCCAATCAAAGAAGGAAAAGTTTACTGCTATATGATAACACAATTGTACAACTAAAAATAACATAACTGTACAATTATATGAATAACAGTGTGCCGATTGCATAGTTTATAACTGGTGGTCTGAATCCCATACATGGACCACGCTGTTCCATATAACACTTCTCACTAGTAGTATAAACAATTAAATTGATTCCGGGCGCATTTAGTAATTAAACTGTAAGTACTGTCTGTTTAACGTCCTACTGTTCTGCTCCTAAACTGGGCTAATGAAGACGGGCATACATCATACAGTGTGCTATGAGGGGAATTTTGCCCGGACAGCGGCGCTATGGCCTTCTGTCAAGGGTTCTTTTACGTGCACGCCAATGTGTACACGAGGTCTCGGGTTTTCCTCCCATCCGAACGACTATACGTTTTCCCTTTCCAGGTCATCTGTCCTTCACCACGGATAAGGTGGAACCACGCCGGGAATTCCTGATGAACTTTCTCGACTAATGCAGGGATCGAACCCGGCACCTCCATGTTAGCGAGGCAACATCCTACTCACTTAGCCACCGTGGCTCTCATATTGATTTTGGCTTAGGTAGACAATAATAGCCTTGGCGACTTCGGGTTGTACCTTAGTGGTATTCAAGTCCGGATGGAAAGTGGAAAGTCTCGGTGGCGTGAAATTATTTTTGTAGCAGAATTAGTCATTTGAGGTGGGGGAATCACGTGGCTAAGTGGGTAAGATGCTGGCTCGCTAGCCTGGAGGTCGGGTGTTCTATCCCTGCATTGGCCGAGAAAGTTCATCCCGATTTTCCGACGTGGTTTCCCCTTGTCAGTGATGCAGGACGGAGGGCCTGACAAGGACAGCTGTCTAGTCCTTCGGATGAGACGAAAAACCGAGGTCCCGTGCAAACATTGGAATGCACGTAAAAGATCCCTTGGCAGTTGGAATTCGAAATAAGAGTAGGCGATAGTGCCGCTGCCCGGGCAAAATTTCCCTCATAGCACACTGTATGGCGTATGCCCGTCTTCATTAGCCCAGTATAGGAGCAGAACAGTAGGACGTTAAACCCCATTTCATTTCATTTCATTTCATTTGAGGTGGAATGTGTAGGCTATTTACAGTAATTAGTCGAGATATATAAATCCGTTGTGAAATGAATTGATGACTTATCAAGAATTACTGGTAGACAGTTCGATATCTCATTAAAGAAAAGACAATATTTCCCAGTAGTTAATAGTACTAGTCCTAGGTTAATTAGATTATACTTGATCAAAACGTCAAACAAAACGACTCGATCAGTAACCACCATTCACCTTGGACATTTAGTGAAGGACACAAAATGAAATGAAATGAAATGGTGTTTAACGTCCTTCTGTTCTGCTCCTATACTGGGCTAATGAAGACGGGCATACGCGATACAGTGTGCGATGAGGAGAATTTTGCCTGGGCAGCGACGCTATGGCCTACCTTTATATCGAATATCAACTGCCAAGGGATCTTTTACGTACATGTCAATGTATACACGGGGCCTCGGGTTTTCGTCCCATCCGAACGACTACTCAGCTGTCCTTGCCATGCCCTCCGTCCTGCACCACTGACAAGGGGAAACCACGTCGGAAGATCCCGATGAACTGTCGCGGCCAATGCAGGGATCGAACACGTGACCTCCCAATCTGTTTCACAGAGAATTATGATTCTTCTAATATCTCTGTAAAAGATGACTGCCTTTAACACGTGCCGTCACAGCACGCGGCGTCAATCATTGACTGAATGGCGCGTGCATTGTTTACGTAAGACGTTACTGCTTTGGACAGAATGCTGCCTTTTAGTCATTTTAATACCCATTTACACTAAATAGGAAATAATATTTACCTACAAATACGTCAAACGTCTTTATTTAGTTTTCTAATACGTCAAACAAATGTTTT